AAAAAAAAATAAAAAAGGATCAATAAGCAGTTACCTCCATTAGTTTTACGAGTTTATCATCTTCAAATTTCTCAGGATGAACTGCTGCATATATCATTAATAACCGCAACTTGTTTTCACGTGATACATCCTACAGAATCGAGTTATAAGGCTGTGTAAGTACTTGTGAAGAATTAAACATCACAGGTACAGATCATACCTGATTCATTCTTAGGAAGTTGATGACATCTTTTGTCCCAGCATCTCCAAAGACAAGATTTTGCTCTAATTGCCCTAGTTCTCTAAGTCCAAACTCTCTGATAATTTTGTTCAGCTTTCCGGCAATCTGGTAAAGTACCAAAAATATATATATAATTACTGAGAAGTTTTATAATCCCTGCTAGATTAAAGTTTTTAAATAAAAGCAAAAGGTGATCCGATTCATAAATTCTGAATTTCTGATTAAGGTGAAAAAGAATTGAATGTGTCAACCTTGATTGAACTTTCACCAATGTACTTCAAGCACAAAGCAGGTGCAGGAGATGAGGTATTTAGTGTATCATAGCCTCATTGCGTCTATTAAAGGAATTAAAATCTTGATGTCTCTCACACCAATTCAAGTCTTAGAGCGAATGTCTTTCCTTCCAATTTACATACTAATGTCTAGTGGTGAATGTCCTTGCCTTTACCAAGGTTTTGAAAGGCAAAATCAGGCCTCGATGCAGTGGGAGCGGGACTCTCTGACATAACGCATAAGCCTCAAGGCATGATGAGGCATATGCCTCAACTTAATTTAAATAGAATAATATGGTGTACAATAAAATGCATAATTCATACTGTGAAATAGAGTAGTCCTCTTACTGCAGTGGTAAATTATTATAAGTAAAATAAACTTAAAGACATATTTTGAAAAGTTTAAAAAACAGAATCAAGCAATGGTAAACAACAACAAACTATTGTTACCAAATACCGACAATAAGTAATAGAGTAGTAGTACAATTCTACAATATAAACAGCTACAAGCTAAAATCTCAATTTAAGAAGAGATTAAATAAACAGTGAGGGGGGGGGGGTGCGAACTGATTAGAGGAACTAAGTGTTAAAACAAAAAGATGAAGACAAAAGAGGATCAGACCTGATCGCAAACAGTAGACCAAACAACTATAGTTTTTTTCTGAACTGGAGTGAAGACGTGAAGTAGAAGACTGAGAAAGTGAGAAACGAAGTGTGATGTCTTTTTTAATAGGCTCCTAAGTTTTCTCAATATAAATCTACATTTCTACTATTTACTATTTATAGTGTGGTTGTTAGAAAGTATTAAGATAAAGCGAAGTAAATAATGACTGTGTTTCGAAACAATGCTTGTGGCTAGCGTTTATAGGGTCTCTTGGAAACAGCCTCCCTACTTTCGAGTAGGGGCAATGTTTGCGCACACACACCCTCCCCAGACCCTTTTTTGTGGGACCCAACTGGGTTGTTTGTGATACTTTTTTAATGATGCAGATTCACTTTGAAAATGCTAACGTTAGATAGCATTTTCAAAATGATAAGCTACACAGTAAAGCTTATTCCAAACAGAGTTGATAGCTTTTAAGAACTTTCATAGAATCATGGTAAAAGTCTGAAGTTTGAGCCTTGTTTAGGCCTTGCGCCTCATCCACCTCAGGTGTAAGCCACTAAGCCTTGAAATACCAACATGTTGCTTAAGCCTTTGAGGCTAAAACCCGCTGCCATTAAGCCTCACCGGAGCCACCGCCTCTAATGTCTTTGAAAATCGTGGCCTTCACTTTTTCATTAATAATTTAGATGCAGTTAGTTCAACATTTCTATGTTATCAAAAGTATGCCTTAAGCCTTTAACATTACCAAATAAATTTCAAGTGCATATGCCATAGAAAAAAAATCTTTTGATACATTTAGTGCATGGGAAAGTATCTTCCCATGAATTCTAATTCCTCAAACTAGATGAAAAAGTTTCCAAACCAAACCTTACATATCATTTTTCCCTTCTGTATTTTCCGCTCACTGAAGTGGAACCTTCGTACACTGGTTGAGGTGTTGCTGTGTGACCTTGAGATCACAAATTCGAGTCTTGTAAACACTATTGCAAAAATGTACAGAAAGAGTTGCCTATATTACATCCTTGTGGGTGAGACTCTTCCCTGTACCCTCACTTAAAGCGGATCCATGGATGCTGTTAGAGTGCATCCCACATCGGAAGTTCAAGAGTAAAATAACCGGTATATAAGCTCTTGAGTTGGACTAACTAATCGATTGGATTCAATCTTTTAATGTGGTTCAACCCAAGTGTCTTGTTGTCCAATCCAGTTGTCCATACCCAATCCTAAATTCTATCATGGTATCAGAGCCAGTTTTAGCCCACCTCGTTTGTCAAGGTGTCCGTCTAGACGTTCATTCCTAGCGGCCCGTTAGTCTTTAGCCCAGTTGTCCGTATGGATGTTGTACCCAACGGCCTCTGGCCTGTTTAACACGATTGCTCGTCTGGAAGTCCATACCCAGCGGCTCGTGGTCCTTTAGGTGTTGGCGCTCAAAAAAAAAAAAGTCAAGGAAATGGGAGTTCATTTGCAAGTGGTCAACCGGTTAGATTCAAAATGGCCCGGTTGTCCACTTGAGGGGGAGTGTTAGAGTGCATCCCACATCGGAAGTTCAAGAGTAAAATAACCGGTATATAAGCTCTTGAGTTGGACTAACTAATCGATTGGATTCAATCTTTTAATGTGGTTCAACCCAAGTGTCTTGTTGTCCAATCCAGTTGTCCATACCCAATCCTAAATTCTATCAGATGCTTATGCACTAGCTGTCCATTTCCCCCGCTCATTCAAGTCATTACTATCTCCCAAGCAATTGAATCTGAAATCCTCCATTATTCCCCACTTTCTTCTCACACTCTATTTTCCATTTGTTCACTTCTTCCAATCAAACACCCCAAAACCACATAAATGTTATTTATAACCATCAACTTAAAGGGGTATGCAAAAAGGAAAAAAAACAGAGACGAATTCCATCTACAAATACTCCACAACAACAATCCAGTATAATCCTAACAGTTGGAGTCTAAGGAGTCAAGACGTACTCAACCTTACCCATGTAATATATAGAGAGTCCCTTAGACCCTTGATGCATTGCTACGTTTACTATAAAAAACTCTATTGGAATTAAGAAGCAAAGGAAGTTTAATGTGTTATCTTGAATTAGTCCATTATTTAGCCGAAGCTAAAACATTGTCTTCATATTGCAAGATTTCAGTGAAAACTGACAACAGACTGCCAAACAAAAGCAAAGAAAAAAGAGCACAGCACTGGTGCCAATTTCTTTAGGAATTGCAGATTTCTTGGTACATCATATTCATGCATTTACGATCCATGACCATAAGAAAAGGTTTCCACTATATCTCAGGAGTAGTAAAAGGTGTAAAGCAATTCGAGTGGTTTAGAAGGTAATTGAAGAAAGAATGAAGGAGTGGCTGTCAAATAGAATCGTTGAACTAAAATAAAGAATGGACTCTTTTAGCTCCATTGGCAATGGACAACATCAACTACTAAAATTCCATGTTTTATATTTCATTGACGCTTGTTGGGAGTTCAAGTAGTGTTTAGCCTGACTAGGGCGCCTAATCAAAGTACTAGCCAGCCAAGAAGTAAATCACTCTAGGGGCAACTAGGTCGAATTTAAGAACAATGGTAATACTACTCCAGAGCTCATGTTATCACATGGAGGTGTTCTCCATTAGAAAATGGGCTAAGAATCAAAATGCTACTATGACATTATGCAGACGATCTGCTATTAGAAAGCACTGCTGAAATTTTGAAATTAAGCATTAGCTCCATTAAAAACAAACATATGCAACATGCACACAACTCACATCTACATGGAGAGAGAGCTTCTCAATTTGTTCACTATATTGAGGCAGAGCATGAACCATTTTTTGCAAATCCCTTGTAGACAACTCACCACCACCTCTACAAAATGACCATTTTGCAGTCAGAACAAAATATTCCAGAATGCTGCTAATTGACAGACTAAGATTCTTAAATTTAGATGATTTCAATATGGTAAATTTAGAAAATTAGAAATAAAATCATGCTAACCTTGAACCATGCTGCATTTGTGCAGCTTTATTTTTGGTGACAAAGTTCGTCATCTTTTCATGCAGCCGTTCACTAGCCTGATAAATCAAACAGTGATTAACAAGGGAATACATCTATATTTCATTACTTGCAAGTAAATACATGAGCATTGAGCATACATCTGCAATATGTGCATGACGAAGCTCTAACCAGATTGGGTCATGATCCTCCAAAAGCACATCCTTCATCTCTGGAAGCCCACCCGTTTTGCTTGGAACCTAAGAAGTAAATTAATTCACCGAGAAAGATGCCAATATTCTAATAGATGAATAAAAATTGGAAGCACTATCTACCTCATGTACATACTTATTTCCTTCCATGTTCAGCAAATCATGACACATGGCATCATATGTCCACTCATGTATGATTGGAGCAACCTAAGAAAAAAGAGAGCATGAGTAGAGAAAATTAAGAAAACAATTAAAAAAGGGTGTTGTCACGGACCTGATCTACAGATCTGTCAACAATAAGAAGCTCGCATGTTTCTGTTTGTGGAAAATGCGGAAGGGTAGATTTATATTTCATGAGACAATTCCATACGGCCGCAGCAAGCTTTGTTGGAATTAAATCACGAAATGTAGTCATTGTAGTTGGATCAATGGATTTGATAGCACGGTAGTGAACAAATGGAAACTCCTGTAGAAAGACAACATGGTTGATGCTCCCTACTCAGCAGGGCTAATTATAATGAATAAGAATCAAGAAATTGGCATACCCGTAATGAGGCAAAAACTGTAGCAATGCGGGTGGCCATCACTCTCAGACATGCATCACCCTTGAGAGAACCCTCATCATCTCCAAAAAGTTCTTCTAGGGCCCTCTCATTATCAGTTACAAAACCCTAAAAGAAGGCATATACAATGACATATAAGAATACTAAAATATTGCTTTTAATATGTAAGTGCGCTTAATTTATACTAATTTCTTATTATGAGATAGTGGCATCTGTGCTAGTTAAAACACTTCGTCTCATCTGAAACTTTATTTTCATACAATGGAAAGTTACAGCCTTGTCAAAACCATTTTGGAACCATTCCATGACAAAAATTTACTTTACTACGGAAAAAAAACTGAAATGCTCTAATGAATACCGTATCATGAGAACTTAAGTTTAGTACCGAAACCAGCCACACAAGCTTTTTGGCTATTAGGTGTGGCAGCACCATAGTCCATACATACCTGACTATCGATGGCAAAGTATTCCAAGTTCATCTGCATGGCCGATCCAATAATCAGTAAAGGAAATAAAAATATGAGAAAACATAATGAACAGCCTAAAATGGTGGTGGGAGTAGCTGAACTGGTTCCCTTCCCCATCCCTTCCTACCAAGGCTCAAACTCCACCCAAAAATAACATAAAAAAGACTAAAAGAAGAAAGGCAAACCTCTCTAAGGGCACCAATGCGAGACAGAACACTAGCATCCCTCTTTATCTGATCGACCAGTTCTTTCGAAATGGATGAACTAAAGAAGACAAAGGCCCTAAAATCATTTTTGAAATGCACAAACTGAAAGTGAGAAACAATGAATATTTTAGATTTTTTAGCCATCAACAACATAGCTTCCCAAACCTTTTATGTTGGACGCAACAGGAAAGCGAGCAAGTGAGAGTATAAAAAGTGGGGATCAGTAGAAGCTAAGACCCACCCAATAAGTTACTCTATCTAATTCGAACATATGGTTTGACACTAGAAAATAAAAATTGAACTGAAGTCAAGTTTCAATAAATAGAGAGAGGGCTTCAACATACTTTTTGTACAAAGGAGATTTCCCAGCCATGTCAGAGAGAAACATTACAACGCTGCATATCAAGTAGGAGGGTAAATCAGTTATCAGTTAGAGATAAGAGTTCTCCATAATTAAGAGCTTAGAAACAAAAACATATAGAAGTCTTGTTGCTATTTACATAAACATTCAAAAGTAAAAAAAAATATCGGTATGATTTACTTCTCTTTTGTAGGCTGGATGAAGTATATGGCGTCCATTGTGGGAACTGGTTGTCTTCGCCGGTAAATATCTTCCACCACTGTTGGCAAAAATCAAGACAGTTATGTTTCAAATGTTGCATTATACATTTCTTATTGGGCTTGTGGGTGTTCATTGTTGTATGTTACATCATACGAAGTACATAAGAGAATGGAAAGGGTAAAAACATCAGTATGCATACCTAAGACAGAAAGCAAGGTGAAACAACATAATTTTGGAGTAGATATAAAACATGATGATTGAAGATCGAAATTACATATTTTTCTAACTCCATTTATATTGTGTTTAGTAAATTCCATGGATAAGAAACATAGCAAAATAAACCACATAAAAAAAAGAGAACAAATAAAAAAAACCATACAAGAAGCTTACACCACTTGCATTTAAAAAACTAACACCATTTGCATGTCATTAAGAAAAGAATAAGAAGAGGTGCATTACACTAAGAAATTTATACTCCCTCCGTCCCAAATTAATACTCTTAGTTTGACTTTGCACATACGAGGCATTACATCTATATATTTACAGAAATCTGAATAGAAGTTTTATAAGACGTAATCAATCATCCTTCAAGAAATTTGTAAATAGTATAATGCAGATGTCCTGAGAGTGGCGTATTATGCCTTACAAGAAACTCCTTCTTCTGTGATGTCTGCCATCTTGCATGCATAAGACATTATCTTAACTGTTAGTTTGTCCATGATCAGTACCTGCAATATAAGGGGTCAAACTGGCAAGCAATAAATTATTGTTTACCATAGAACCAAAATTAACAAATGACTTAATTTCCAACAGTTCAATAGAAGACAAAGCACACCACAAAGTCACAAAAAGAATATATACCTTCCATGTTGATTTTGAATCCTTTGATCGGGCAGATCTAAGCATTTCGTATAACAATCCTGCAGATGTAGAGCAAAGTAACTTGAAGAAATGCAAAGTATGAAAGGAAATATTAGATACAGTATGATTCAGGAATCAGGATGATAAGTGTAACGGAAAAAATAAAATTGCATTGAGCACGAGAAATTAAAATCTGATGCTGAAAAAACCATAATACTTCATGTAAACACTGTAAAAACCATAGTACTCCATGTAAACCATAATATTAAAATTAAAAATAAAAAAAACAGGCAACCCGGTGCATAAAAACTCCTGCAAGTGAAGGGTTTAGAGAAGAACCGGGTCACTATAGCCGGATATGCACAACTTAACTTTATATTTATATACAGCACTGGTTCAACAGATTGAACCTAGTGTCTATGGATCACATATCAAGAAAACTCCAGAGATGGAAGATGTCATCAATGTCTTGGATTCTCAATTTTACCTATATTTTGTTTCGAGGTTGACCTAATGGTCCAAGGGTTAAAATGTACCCAAATATGAAGATATTGATGATTTTTGCATTCTTGTTCAATGTACCCAAAAGTGAATTCACTTAGTTTAAATTATTAACTCTCACTAACTCTTGCAAAATAACATTATAAGTGACAGTATCTGGTAAGCAATCCATCTCAACCATTTTCCTAAACAAGTCTAGAGCAACATCTGTTTTACGCTCTCGACAGAGCCCATTTATCATTGCAGTGTATGTATGCACATCTACATGTTGACCTTTAAAGATGAGGAAACTGAATATACTATGTGCAATATTGAGACCCATCTTGCGCAACCCTTGCGATGGCCTTTCTGATGATTTGAATCATTATTAATCTTTGAATAAACTATTACGTTTTTGGGCATTTCGAGGTGGTATAGAATGTGGCACCTTACCTTTAAACCACATAATAATCCAGGAATTCTTTGGGTAGTGCTGGGTACAGTATTAAAGCTTTCCAACATCAAAAGTTGCAATAATATAAGCTGATAAAGTGATAAATCTGAGAATAGTTTACATAACAATAAAATGCAGTGTCTTCTATTTGGCGTTAGTACTGTTAGGTAGTTATATTCTTTTCCACCCAAGTTGCATCAAGATTATGACACAAAAATGAACAGTGCAAACATTATCCAAGAAATGTGTAACTTCATAAAGTCATTAGTGGACTTTCCTGATCTATAATAGCCAAAGCTCCCAAAAGTGTTAATTCAACTATATATCCTTCTTTGTAGAGGTGAGGTACTTCTACATCAAACCTACATTAAAAAGGTCTACTTGGCCCCCCCAGTGGACAGAAGTTAAATCCCATTTTCCCAATAGAAATGAAACACAAGACACGGATAAATTTTAGAAATAATCATGTTTAGAACTTTTTTTCTACAAAGTGATTTCACTCATATAGTCATGCGTGATTTGGGTCTCTTGAAAAATGAAAACAGCCTTCCTACTTTCGAGTAGGGGTAAGGTTTGAGTACAAACACCCTCCCTCGAGGGATTCAACTAGGTTGTTATTGTTGTTGTAGTCATGCATGATTCAACTCACTGTTTGCTCTCGTAAAATGAGAAAAGGCACTGCTTTCAGTTCTGCAATCTGTCTACAATATCTTGTATTTCCCCTATTCAAGGCGAAATAGAAAATTACACTCTCAAAAACATGCACTGTCACTAGTTAACTTAAGGCCTGTTTGGAGCAATGGGAAATTTTCTATACATGTAACTCATATAAATGATAAATATTCCCTCTGTCTCACTGGATTCTTTGCACTTACTACTCACTCGTCAAACTGAACCTTCTTTCTTTACATATTTTCATCTATTATTTGATAAAATAAGATAGTAACATAACGTCTTGTTTTGAAGACCTTCTGATGTAGCTTTTAAGTGTATAAATTTTACGTAGTATTTGTTAATTTTACACCAATATTTAAATAAAACGAATTGAAAATAATATTAGTCAAGAATCTAATGAGACGGAGGGAGTTATTTCATTATATTAGTAGTCTAGTACCAAGTCAAACTTTGACAGGAGTTACATGCTTACAAAAAAAGGATAAGAGTAACAATTTTCATAATGAGTAATTCATATCCTAATCATTTCATAAACAGTTTCAGATCAAAACTTCTGAATCTATCAGTCCACATTTCTTGTGCCACTTATTTGCTTATGGCCTTAATTACTAGAAAGCAGAGAGCAGCAAATTTCTTGTTCGAATTGAGATGCTATTTGAGAAATAAACAAACACGAGGGCAATAAACCAGACTAAATCATACCAAATCAACCTAGTAAATCCCACTTTTTTGGGTGAAAGTAAATCCCACTTGAGTGTAGAGTTTGGGAAGGTGAGATACATGCAGGCCTTACCTCTACCCTAAGGAAACCATAAGGAATAGAGAGGATGTTTCTGTGAAGGCTCAAATGAAAAAAAAAATCAAAGTATTGTAAAAAGTTAAAAGTTGAAAAAACTTGGTATGCCGACTAAGGCACACATAACGCACCCCTAGCCAAAGGGCCAGGAGAGCTGCTCAACCCCCAACAGAGGTTGCTCTCTTACCCTACAATAAATCGCTTAGCCTATTCCTACATTTCTATTTAAAAAAAGAAAAGGATGAGCCCCATCCCCGAGGGTCCCCACAGACCCGGCCCGGCCGAACAATCACTGAGATGAGGTAAATTGGATTTTAATCGCAGATTGGTGGCAAAGAGTGGAGCCTCCACCTGGTACTTGCAGAGGCTCTATGCTTAGCATAGTTGCCTCCCAGCACAATAGACAACAATTGACAAGAATCAAACTCGGGTCTTACCCCCTTGGCACCCCTTGCCTTGCCAATTGCGCAACGCCCACCGCCTATTCCTACATTTCTATGAACCTAAAGTAGAGATCATGTACTCAAAGAAGTTTAAGAACGCAAAGTCCAGCCTCAACTTCTCATCACATATATTTCATGGTATGCCTCTCCTCCTCGCTGCTCAACCAAGACGCTCACTCTTCTCACGGGTGAGGGGTATGGCCGAATTCCTCAGTCCATTGATTCATCAGAAACAAATACTCGGAGTAAAACAAGCTTTCTTTCAACTCCATTTCCAAATTAGTCCATAAACACCACAGCTCCACTTAACATCAAGCATAAATGACATTGTTCACACAATCCAAATGATCGCATCCAACAAACAAATTCCCGAATCACACAGAACCCGATCACACAATAAGAAATTGAACAAATTAATCCTCGTGCAGTTAGATAATCGCAGGAACTCGGCAGTAAAACATACTGAGTAAATGTCAAAGTGAAAAGAAGACTCACTGTCCCGCGTAATTTGCCGGAAACATTTGTACTCGCTTCCCTGAGACGACGAATCGGAGTCGGACATCGACATGTTGCTCCAATTCCACGGATTCCGATCCTGATTCTCGCGCTAGACGTTGAATTTCGTGTATTGATCAAAATCCTGTGGTTTAGCCAGAGAGAAAGAGAGCGGGTTGATTGAGTTCCCAAAAACGGGTAATATGAGCCTGAGAACGACGTTGACTGTTAAAACCCGCTGTGTTGAATAGTATACGACCCGAATTTTGGCCTGCGTAATCCCAACGGCTTCTCCGCGTTTTGTGACCGGGTCCGGGCAGGAATGAGCGGCCGGATAACCTTGCGCTTTGGGAATTTCTTTCCCAATTCTAGAAAAAGATAGTCACTTCTTCTAAGAAAAGATGTGTTGGTTCATTGTTTTGGTAAAAAAAAAAAGATAGTCACTTCTTCTAGGAAAAGATGTGTTGGTTCATTGTTTTGGTAAAAAAAAGTTTTATTTCTCAAGTTTTAATCAAAATCACTCTTACACTATGTTTGACAAGGAAAGAAATTGAATAAAAGATATTGAGAAAATAGAAGTGAAATAAAAATTTAACTTCTAGTAATTATTTGATTTGAAAGAAACAAAAAGGAGAGCTTTGACGACATTGCTCTCTTTTTATGTTTCATTCTCTCCAGATTTCTACTTCGTCTGTATGTTTGGGAATCGGTCACTTCTTGTCGTTTGTCTTCATAACAGCTCTAGTTAACACTTCACATATTTCGTAGCTCTCTCTTTTCCTAAGTAAATATCCATATTTACATATTGAAATGATACAAATATATTATGAATTTGGAAAAAATCTTTTGCAATTTCCGACATTATTCAGAACTCGTTCATTGAGTCGGACGTATCTTGTAAAATAATTTCAACAATTGTAAATCGCTACACAAGATGACTTACTGCACAAGAAGTTTCTTAGATGAACTCCACTAGGATTTTGCTATTCCCCATATAAGTTGTGCATTGCCTCACAGATTGATGAGCCGAATACACGAGAGAAAATATGAGAGGTTGCGTTGAGATAGTTCATCATATAAAAGGAGATCACGCCATTCGTCCATCTCTTTGCGTGATTTTTTTGAAGCTCAGTTTCATCATAGAAACCTCGAAGCTAAGATGCTAAACGAACTGATTCATAGCTTGTGATATTCATGTTCGCCATCTTATCTAGAAGTTAAATATATTTTTTGATCTGGAGAAGGGTTGCAATCACGTCTTCAGAAAAGGTTTTGAAGAAGCTTTAACACGTCATTGAAGAGGACTCAAACAGGGTTTGAGTTAGAAGCCATACATAAGGTAGATTTTGTCATACACATAAAGAAGAGACATTCTATTATTTGTGATTGGTATAATCTATTGCGTTGGTTTAGTGAAGGGTTGTTATACAAACATGGGCCCTATAAAAAAGGAGAGTTTGCTCCGAACTGCGTAAACATATTGTTGTGTCGTTTATTGTTTTTTTAATTATGCAATGACATAGAATATGTTACAGCGCCCTGTAAGTCATATCTCACTTAGACTAGAGTTGTAGCATCTTGTCCATTATCATGGTGCTGAAACATGTACTGGATCACATGGTCTGTTATCATCCTCTGAAGGAATCCTACTCAGTGAAGGAGTCTTGCTATTTCAAAAAATTCCAGCTGGCGTATATTTTTATGGAGTGCAACATATTTTAAAAAGGTGTCCTACGATTTTTGGAAACTCTTATATCTCATGCGCAAGTTTTGAGGAAAAAAGAATGCGCTGGGCGATTTGCTACGCAAGATGACTTACTGACCAAGAAGACTTGCTGCACAAGAAGTTTCCTAGATGAACTCCACTAGGGTTTTGTTATTCCCTATATAAGCTATGTCTTGCCCCACATATTGATGAGTCGAATACATGAGAAAAAATTTGAGAGAATGACTGTTACACAGACGTGGACCCCACAAAGTAGGAGAGTCTGCTCTAAAATGCGTAAACGTACGTATTGGTGTGTCGTTTACTGCTTTATTTAATTCTGCAATAGCGCAGAAGATGTTATAGCACCCTACAAATCATATCTCACAGTAACCCGTGTTATAGCATTTGTGTGCCACACCTTCATGTTTTATTTGTGTTGTGTGATCTACAAATCAGCTTGGATTGGTAAGTAGTTTACTATCTATGAAATTTCAAAAAGATCAATTATAGATTTACTTTTTAAAAAATGTTTCGGTTTGAAAGTTTTGTTATAACTGAAATCTATTTTTGCCAAATTCTCACATATAATTTGTTTTTCTCAGATATAATTTGTTTATGAGCACTTCTTAAGTCCCAAAAAGCCTCATACTATCAGATTGGATTGAACCATTATATTTGGATCATTTTTTCTATATCTCTACGGTGAGAGAATGGGTTGCGTCCCCAACATATCCATGTACGTGGTACACCCCTGCAATGACTAATTAATGACAATGCTTATGTGGTAAGTACTAATTCTCTTGGATGGATGTTCGGGTCGATTCTAGGGATCCTGTTAGTTCCATATTGTGTTGGCATTATTTTTTCACAAACAAATAGATTTGCTTAGAATTATTTTAGGTAGTGTTTGGCAACTAGCATTTCATTTCAATTCATGCATTTCAATTTCAAAATTTGAAATCTTGAATTTCAAATGACAAGGGGAGGTGCATGGATTTCACATTAAGCTTTGTTATGAATGAGAAGAATTTGACTCAAATCCAAATTCAAAATTTTTAAATTTCCCAAACATGGAATTTGAGCCAAATCCGGATTTGAAATCCAAATCCATGTTCCCAAACATACCATTAGATCTTTTATTTAGACTTAGAGTCCTGGCATGTGAAGAAAGAGGAAAGAGCTTGAACAGAGAATTCTAATCCTACTTGGTTTACTATTCTTGAGGAGGAAGTCATGCTTGAGACTCCTAAGTAAACTCTAATAGGGTTATTCTACTCCATATATTATCTTTTCCCTCCCTTAGGGTTTTGGCATGCAAAAATACGAAAAAACTGAAGCAAATCCGATAAAAAGAAAAACAAGGTGCAGATTTTGATAGTGCAAATTTTCTGGATAGCCTGCACGAATTTGATCATCGCCGGAGATCCGACTGTTGGATTTTGCTTAAATTTTCAGACAGTATTCCCATTACATATAGCTTAAACGTGTTCAATTTTCACGTCAATCGGAGTTACGGATCTTTTGTTATCGAAGTTTTAATCTATAGATTGTCGCTGGTTTTTTCAGAAAACTCGGATCTGGTTTTGTCTATGGTTGGAGTACCAAGTCTTGTCCGATCATGCTGAAATTTTAGGAGGAGTCTAAGGACTCGTGGAGCTTCAATCTGAACGGTGGAGATCGAATTCCAACGGTTCAATCTCTATTTATGAGCTTCGGATCAGCCTGCATATTTTTGTAGAGAAAGGCAAAATTATTGTTTGAAGGTGTACTGGAATCTACGTCTTTGAAGAAGATCTTTGAGAAGGTGTAACAAGCCGTGGAGATAGACGCAAACAGAGTTTGTTGTCAAGTCATTCGTAAGTAGACAAATCAATACATTAGAAGGTTCCCTTGTGATTAGTTGTGTAATTTACAGTGATTTAGCGGAAGAGTTGTTACACGGACGTGGGCCCCGCAGACGTAGGAGAGTTGCTCCGAACTGCGTAAACAATTCTCGTGTACTGTTTACTGTTTTTACTTTATATTCTGCGTGTGTGCTTGTGACAGAGAAGATATTATAGCACTCTGTCACTCATCTGTTACTGTGACAGTGCTGCAGTATCTTCTCTACAACATAGTTATTTGATCTGTTTGCATAGCTTTCAATTGGTGATTTCCGCCGCACCCCCACGAACTTACAGATCCTACGATGAGGTTATCTTTGATTTGGCGGGTGTTCTTGACTTACGTTTTGTTTGAAGATAACATTTTACATTAACGGTAGCATTGTGATAAAAATTTAGGGATGAAATTTAACTTCTACGAAGTACGGAGTAAAATGCTAAATCTATTTCCATACCATTAGATTAATTTCTCAAACCTTAATTTCTAAAATGGTTTCCCAATAGGGCCTTACTCTACTTCCTAGATCGACAAGAGACTGCCGTCCGGCGGTCAACGGTGCGCACATTACCCCTCTGCTAGGTGTCGGCGGCGGCTAGGGATGACTTAATAAAAAATCATGAGTTTTCCTGGGGAGCTTTTGTCTTGTTCGAAAGATTCAGAGACGAGCTTAGGAAAAAACCAAAGTCTTCCTAGAAACAACAAATTCAAACACAAATAATAATGTAGGATTTTCTTCTAATATATATAATCCTCCCCCCATGCATTACAAACAAATCCAACTAAACACCAAAAAAACAGATTATTAACACTAATCACTCTGTGATTAAGGATTCATTAGCACTTTTGTCCCCACCGGCGACGGCGTTGTCAGAGCATTACTGTCGTCCACCGCATCATCGGCGGCGTTGTTGTACCGGCACAGTACCTTACACTTCACCACATTGTCGTAAACGTAGAAACCCGGAGTCAACATTATCCGGACCGTGGTCGGAACCAGCTTCCGAGCCCGGTCTCCCCCTTTGTCCTCCATGTAAACCGGGTCGAACCGGTTTTGCTCGTCCACTCGGAATATAGGCAGAGCCGGGTGGACCGAGTTGGCCAGGAGGTGGACCAGCCAGACGGCTTTTGATGCCCCGAAGAAGGCTTGCAATAGCGGCTCCGGCCAGGCCCGGTTCCACGCCAGTAAAGTGACCACCTCGCTCATTTTCCGGTCGCAGAACCGGCTGAAATCCTCGGAGAAGAACCGGGTCCCCTTGCTCAGCACCTCCTCCCATTTCAGCCCTTGCAGCCGGTTCACCGCCGCGAAGTTGGCGGCGCACCGGTCGAGCGGGTTCAGGACCGGGTTAGAGGAACTCTTCTGGAACCGGACCGTCTCGAAGTCCTCGAAGAATGCCCGGCTAAGCAAGGCTTCAATGTAGAGCGGCCCGACCCGGGAGTTTTTGGACAGAGAGTTCTTGACGTCGTAGGGGTGGAGGAGCTGGGAGATCCGGTCGTGGGTTTTCCCGGCGGCCATTTGACGGAGGTGCACGGCGATGGATCGGGTCAGGACCCGAATCGAGGAACGGGCTTCGGAGACGGAGACCAAGAAACGCTGGATCACCCTTTCTTGATCCCCTGTTTTGAGGCATTGGAATGTCAGGTGAGGGCGAGGATGGTTGCCGCCGTAGATTTCGAGGCCGGATTTCAAATCCCGGCAATACACTTCGAGCTTGCTGAGCTTCTTCTCCAGCTCGGCCATGGAGTTTTTCAATCTCGAAGCTTCCAAAACGGCGTCGTCCTTCTTCTTGGTGGCCTGGACCAGCTTCTGCGACAGCTCCGCCACCGCGGCCTTCCACTGATCCGGCGGCGCCGCGGACGACGTCGTCGACGACGAAGACCCGTCCTCCGACAACCTCGGGCTCTTCCTCACCAGATGAGAGAAAACCGACTTGAAAATCCCGTTCGGGCTCGCCGTCGTCGAGTTCCGGCCGTCCATGGGCACCACCGAGATTCTCTCCCGGCTGCTCGGCCGGCACTTGTTGCACAACACTCCCCGGCCGTCTTCCCCGTCGCTCTCCGGCCGTTTCTTCTCCGGGCAGCGGTGGAGCGGCGTGGGGCGGTGCTTATACTCACTCACCGGACTACCAGTGCATCTGTGCTCGTCTTCCTCATTCCCTTCTTGAATCTCCATTACCGCGACCCAGAAAAGAAACAGAGAATCAAGAAACAGGGGATTTCAAATTTCAATACTGAATAAGCACGAAGAATAGATTCAATAACAATATACACACTTACAGGGGTGAAGAGAGGGGAAAGAAGGGGCTTTGAAGGCGCCATTGATAAAGAGAGAAAAGGTGGAGACTTTTTGGGATTCTCTTCATGAATCATGGGTTTTGAGAAGAAAGTAGCTGCTGAAATTTGCAGGATTTCTGAAAGAAAATTCAATTTCTTTATCTGTATTTTCTGGGGGCGTTTAAAAGCACACAAGAATCCAAAAGGTCAGACTTGGGAGGGAGATTTTGGGGGGCGTGGACCACACTTCCTTCCTTTACCTCCGCTCCGTATTTAATTTCAAGATTTATCACGTCAAAAAAGAAAAGAATTTTATTGTGGAGTACTATTTCAAAACAATAGTTTTGTGACTTTTGTCCATTTCTTTTGCTTATGGTTTGCTTTATGATGTTTTGCTAAGATTATTTTTTAATAATTTTATTTAAGTATTGATGTAAAATTAAAGTATTCAGATTTAAAAATTACAGAGTACATTAAAAGATTTGCAAATTAAGATTTCATGAAACTAGGTTTTTTCATCAAATGAAATAATAAAATTTGTAAAGAAAGATATACTGATTTGATTGTGTGAATAATAAATATTTGATAATGAATCCAACGTAATGAGAAAATAGTTTTTAGTTTTAAAAAAATCATTCTCGGTGCACATACCCTTCAATTTGAAAAAAATATTAAGCGGCAGTGATGTAGTGCTACAGATGGTTGAGATGAGAGCGTCAAAGAAAGAGTTTGCGAGTTCAACATTTTGCAAAGACGATAGAGAATATGATGAATTTGGTTAAAATATTTTTAAAACTAATAAATATTAATTTTAATTTCCAAATTTTTAAATAAATTTGTAATAATCTTGTACTATTGGATTACGCTTCTAAAACTATTTAATTTATTTTACTTTAACCTTGTAATTTAATAAATTAATTTGAATATAGATCATAAATAAATCTTGAATGGAGTATTTCATAATTTAAAAGAGGAATTAAAAAACAAATGAGTTTTAAAAGGGCCTAAAAACAAAATTTATTAATTTTAAAGGGATCAAACATATACTCCGTATTTAAATCCAGTGAAGATTATTTGAAACAAATAATTTTATAGAGATGATTTGATCTAAAAATTTTAGAAGAACCAAAAACAAAATTCAATAATTTTACAAGGACAAGAAACATATTTAATCATTTTCTTTTCTACTTTTTTTATCTTATTTTTTTAAATTTATTTTTTTTATTATTTTTATTTGTGATTTTTATTTTTAATTTTTAATTTTTAATTTTCTAAAATTCTTTTAATTTTCAGTTTTATTTTTTTTTATTTTTTAAAACGTATTTAAAATATTTATAAAGAAAAATAATAAAAAAAATTAATTCCTCTTAACAACAAAGTTTAAAAGCTTAAAGCTACTCTCCTTCGCTTTTCAGATTTTGATTTTTCTCTACCGAACAACAAGAGTGAAAAAACAATTTGCTAAACAATGTTAACTCTAATAATGTTCACAAAAATGACCGATATCACTTCTCTTTTTTCTATGCAACTCTTAACTATTCGATTTCACTTTTTAATAATCATATCATGTAAATGGAAAGTACTTCATGTCATTTTATCCATGTTATATCTCATCACTAATTTTTAGTGTAAATTGTAAAAATGGTCTCTCAATTAAAACTGATGGTTTTTCAAATTAAGTTCCTAATTCTAAAATATTACATTCATAATTCTTATTTTTTTAAAATTAATCTATAAATAGTCTTATAGGCCAAATATTACTAAATATTGTTTTCTACATATAGTCTACAAAAGATAGATTGTAGAATAATCTTCAAAATTTATAAACCATGAATATAATATTTTAGAATTGCAAATTGAATATGAAAAATCAACTATTATAAGAGACTATGTATAGAATTTACTCTAACTTTTACATTGCATTCAAATTAAATGGAAACTTTTTGTAGTGTACTTTAATATTAAAAATAGCAGTGTACTTTGAATTTTTTTTTTGTTTAAAAGATTTTTCGCTAATGGCAGTAGAAGAAAAAATATTTATCTCATATTAATATTTTTTTTATGATTTATCAAAAGTTGAATATAATGAACATACATCACACAATATATCTACATTAATTCAATTTTAATATATTAAAGAAATCATAATATCCTTTTAAAATTGATGAAATTAAAAAATATAATACGTCTTTTATATATATATATATATATATATATATATATATATACATACATACATACATACATACATACATACATACATACATACATACATATATATATATATATATATATATATATATACATACATGCATATATATATATATACACACACACATACATATATATATATACACACACACACACACACACACACATATATATATATATATTTATATATATAAACTTCAGGTTATTCTATTACTCTTTTAAAAAAATAAACACTTGAATGACTCTTGATACAATCTTGAATGAAATTTGTTTATGCTGGAGAAAAAAATTATGAATCACATTTTTATAAATGATGAAGTATAAATTAAATATGTTTTGAAACATATTGAAATTTAAAATTAATTATTGGATAGAGAGAGTATTATTAATTTATATTGACAGATGTTGGTATATTAATTAAAGTATTTTCCTCAAGTAAATAAAATTACAAATATCTTGTGTAACATTTGTTGTGGTAAATAAACACCAACCGAAGTCCGAAGGCGACAGAATGGAGTATCTAACGATCAACTTATTACTCTTAGCTAACATTTTTGTTAGGTGCACATACTTTTCATATACATCAAAATTAAGTGAGAGCCCATTTTGTTTAGTTTAATTAGCTTCTCGATGGAAGAATATAATGTATTTCTTCTACAAGATTAAGTTTTCACTTTTAACATTCGGAGTATTATATTTGATCATATATAGGTTAATACATCGAAATGTATAAACATTTAACAAGTTACATTGTTAACTCTTTTTAAATAGCAAAACTAAGTCTTTAATTACTCCCTCCGTCTCTAAATAAAGTTCTTCTTTCGTTTTTTCTTTGTCCCTAAATAAACTTCTCTTTTCCCTTTAAAAACCCCTTTTACCCCTTACTTTTTCATACCATACATATCACATCATACCTTTTTACTAATAATCTATCTATCACATCTTACTTTTACACATCACATCAAGGGTATTTTTGGAAAGTCAACACAAAAATATTCCTTCCTTAAATCCTCAAAAAGTCAAAAATAAAACTTTATTTAGGAACGGATGAAGTATTAGATTTTTAGGTCTAGGGGTCCTAACATAATTATGCACCCCCTATTGACTCCACTAAGCAGCAGCTTCAGAACCTTAGGCACGAGAAAACCGAATGTGTCAAGTACTACAAATTAAATACTCCCTCCGTCCCAAATTATTTGTCACATTTCTATTACTGAGGTAAAATATTAAGTTTTTTCAATTCATTTTATTTACATATTGGTAAAAAAATAAAAAATAAAAATTACATATCAAAAAACTACATGAAAAGTTCTTCGAAATAAGAAGTGTCAAGAATACTTTATTTTATCAAATAACCAATGAAAACGTAGAAATAAACAAAAGTTCCCGCGACTGTTGAAAAAGTAAATGTGGCAAATAATTTGGGACGGAGGGAGTAGTATCAACATGTGTTCGTTGTCGAGGAACAATCTCTAGTCTTTTTTATCCTGGGGATATCTACTCGATAATTAAACGTCATATATACCACAACGTTACTAATAAATATTACTCATAATTAATAATCTCTTTGTCCCGATTTAAGTTTTATGTTTACTATTCACGATATCAAACTTTATCCACTTTTTTTCTTATTTTCGCTGCTCATTTGATAAAATAATATAATAATGTTACCTCTTGTTTCATAGAACTTTTGAACTAATTTTTAAATGTACTCCGGTCATGAGTATTTTTTTAATTCTATCTCAATTCTCAAATAAATTATATTGAAAATTATTAGTCAAACATCAATTTAAAATGGAACGATAGGAGTAATAATTAATAATGAGTAATAATATGAAGACTCAATTATAATTTACTATCTCCGTCCCTAAGTATTTTAAAAGTGTAACGAACACATTTATCATTTCTCAATTTCTCCATAATTTCATTCACTCAATTACAATATACGGAGTACTCTCTACCATCTAAGTAATCCTTTATTATAATAAAGGAGACTCGGATGCACGAGAATGCGACATTTGGCACGCCTATTTGGCAAAAATTGGAACACATCAGCAAGCCATGTAATAATAGAAAAAATCCTTTAATATAATAAAGGAGACTCCGATGCACAGAAATTCGACATTTGGCATGTCTATGTGGCAAAATTTAAACATGTTAGCACGCCACGTAATATCCAAGTAAACCAGCGAAAATAAATTATATACGATGCACCAGCAGGTCTCCTGTTGGAAACAATTGACCGCAGATTTTCTACGCGATAATCACTGGCCTTCAACGAAATTCTTTCCTTCATATTACAACAATACGAACTCATATTGTGATGATAATATAAAATAATTAAAAATAAATATGAAAAAATATGAATACAATTTAAAAAACAAATATAATATTTTTCATTTAATTTAAATAGAATTTTAGGACCATGCTACATATATTAATCCTTTATCTTACTTCCATATTTAAAAATTACATACTTAAATAATAAGTTACAAAGGTTTATTGTGGAAATTCGTGTATAATAAGAGTTAAAATCAATAGAGTACCTATATTAATGGAAATTAGAATATTATTTTTTTTACAAAAAAAATATATTAAGAAACAATCCTAAATAATACTAAATTTGAAAATGATGATCACGAGTATATTACTCATCACCTTACTTATATTATTTATG